TAAGAACGTCGGGTAAATTATGTACATATGAAAAATCGAAAATCACATTGGTACGGCGGGATTCGAACCCAAGACCTGTAGTTCAAACCACTGAGCCACTGCCGCTGTAGATATATGATATATCTTTGCTTTAGAGCCGTCTAATAGTATCAGAGATGAGCGAACAGAGATGCGAAGTCTTCAACAGTCTGTTGTGGCCGCTGCTGGCAGCTGCTGCAGTGTCAACATACCAGCCGGCGCTGCTCAACCTCCTGCTGCATTCTGTACTCCTGGTAGCTGTCCTCGCTCATTTGCATTACGGGATATGTGTGGTAAGTGTTTATACTGATGAAACATGTATCAAAACATGTTGAAAAACCTTATTGTCAATTGAAATAAATGAATTTTTGTCTATGTTTCGGTAGTGGAAACTCTACTTGAGACATGTTTAACGAAGTCACACTTCATACTAATATTATAAATGCGATAGTTTAGATGTTTGTTTGATAGAGTTTGTAGCCTAAACTGCTGAACGTATTTCGATGAAATTTGGTATAGATGTAGAGGATAGTCTGGAAGAACACATAGGCTACTAACATTGTTTTTTTTTCATTCGACGCGCATAGTGTCGCGAGCGAACCCTAGTTATGTTAAACTTTTTGCAGTTCACAGTTTTTCATAAACTAGCTATCGTCTGTGACTCCGTTCGCGTGGTATTAAAAAAAGTAAATAGCCTATGTGTTCTTCCAGACTATCCTCTACGTCTATACCAAATTTCATCAAAATCCGTTCAGCTGTTTAGGCTACAAACTCTAACAAACATCCATCTAAACTTTCGCATTTTTAATATTAGTAAGACTGTTTAAAATTATTACTGTAAAGATAACATCGGAAATGTAACATTTATTGATGTTTTGACAATTTTCTTTACTTGATGGTTTTTTTATTAAAAAAAATGTTTAGATTGTAATGAATCCGCTAAAAATTAAAAGCATAGATCACTCGATGCAAAACATATATGAAATTCAATATTATTAAATAATAAATTTTTTATATGAAACAGTTAATCATGTATTACACGGTTTTTTCTAGTCAATCTCAAGTATCTCCGATTTCAAAGTCGCACAGCTACATGCAATTTCCTGCAACAAAACTGCTTTGACAACTATTTTTGTATTTTCAAATATTATATTTCAGTTACTAAAACAACTCGTGGGATATAAAATTTGGTATTAGTAAAAATGTGTGTTGACTATAAGCACATTTTTTATTTTTTTTTTATTTATTTATTTAATAACGAGAATATAGCATCTTTACAGAATAAATCTAATGTGACACTATATCTACATATGTTTAAAGTAATAATAATAATATTTTAAATTAAAAATACAATAAAAAACTGATAATGAAGAAGAAAAAATCAAATTGTACACAGAAATTAAAAAGAAGAATATAACATATATCTAAATACCACCATTTGCCTCGCCCTCATCTGTATGCAGCCTCTGTGAATTTCGACTCATTACAACTAAAGATATCTTCAGAAATGATATTGAGCAGACGTATGGCGGTACATTGGGGCATTTTTCATTAAATTTGTTTGACTGAACAATCGCACAACTGTTGCGTTTGTCGATTGTTTTGCATTATTGTTTGCACAACTAAAAATCGAGCGGCACCTCCATATGACCTCATAGGAATCAAAGCAAGACCAAACAGTTATGCGATGGTTTAGACAAAGAGAAGCAATTTCGTGTTACGTCTTATGAGTGTGGTACCGGAGGCCTAATTGCCTTACCCGTTCCACCTTTTTCTTGTAAGGAAAGGATTGGATGGGGTTTGGATTTGACGGTGAAGACTCATATGAAGGGGAAATGTCCTCTTTATGTGCGTCTCCTCCTACGTCTAGTGAAGGTAGACAACGCATCTGCAATTGCGGATGTTTACGGACAGCGGTCGCTTTTCATTTCGGTGGATTCAGGCCGCTTGCTCGTGCCACCTTATATTATAAAAAAATAGTATAAATAACCAGAATATAAGTAACATTGTTTGATTTTATTTCTTTTGTTTCAGGTTCGACAAATGTGTGATCACTTCAAAGTGAAATGTTTTGTTGTGCCAAAGGAGAAGAAAAAATAAATAAATATTAGTGTTTTTTTCAATCCACCGCTGTTTATAGTTACAATAATGTATTTAATACAGATTTTTTTATTAAATCTGTTTTATTAATAATTTCCGAACAGTTTTATTTAACCAAACAAATAACCGATGGAACTTCTTCCTGTGAAGACTAAAGTCGAACTTGCGCAATCTTTACTTCTCCCTATCCTCGACTATGCAGATGTCTGTCTAACTAATCTTAATGAAGAATATCTTCATAAACTAGAAAACAAAACATTTGCATAAGGTTTGTTTATGGATTGCGTAAATACGACCACGTCTCGGAGTATCGTCAGAGGCTTGGTTGGCTTCCCATCAGATTCCGTCGGGATGAGCATGTTCTGATTCTTCTACATAACGTCTTATTTGATCCTCTTTCTCCCCCATACCTCAAAGAGTTTCCAACTTCGGAGTGTCGACCTAAGCCGGGTGCTGCGCTCTGATTTTGGGAATATACTTGATGTACCTTTTACCAGATCAAGTTATTTCGTGAGTTCTTTTACTGTGGAACGATCTGCCACGTGACATTCGGGTGTCAAAGTCACTGGCAATATTTAAAACTGAGTTGCGCCGCTATCTCCTGAGGAAGGTTACCAGCTGAGTTGTTTTGCTTTTCAATTTTTTTTTACTTATTTTAAAATGTTTATTGGTATCTATGTAATAAGCCGTTAATGTATGTATTATATATGTTTGTCTTATATATCTATTAA